ATCCCACTTTGGACTGCTTACCATTGAAGGACTGAAGGTAAACAAAGCCAATACTTTATGTATTGTTTGCTGTGAATACCCAACGTATGGTTAGAGATATCTTTGAGTTTTTAACAAGATGACAATTTATGGCTTCCCTTTTCCCCAGTCCTTTATAACCTTTGATAAACACATTGATGAAGACGGCGAAGGTCTATGCATGTTACACAGATTTGCTTGCCCCCAGTTTAAACAAAAAATGTTTTTTGCCATCGATCTGCGACAATTATAAGGCTCTGACACTGAGTTGACCTGGTTATGTGACTTCAAGAAATTAGAGTTGCGAAATATTATTATTTTTTACCTTTGTATTGTAAAAGTGTCTGTACTCCTCAGGCGTTGCCATAAAAACAGAATTTCATTAGACTATCAGTAAACATGATATCAGAGTTGAGAATTACTGATACCAAAGGGAATGAAGTGTAACTATAAATGTGATAACACTAGTATCCTTTTTTGAACATAAACGAGGCTTTAAAAAAAAATAGATTTCCTTTATAGCTCCCTTCAGACCGGAAAAGTGTGCTGCAATGGAAGCGCTCCCTGAATTCTTTTCGCGGGCTTGAGGTCTTATGAGAAGTGGCATTGATGCTGGCGCTCGTCCTTGCTCTGCAAGAATTTTATGATTCTTCCGTTTTCTTCATCTACGACAATTAATGTCACAAGCTGCAATTTGACCTGGAATCAGTGGAGTATAAACCGTTGCTAAATCAAATTTCTTCACTTTGTTTGTTTACCTTTCCAGGGAAATCCTATCCGACCATTTGAGGAGGCGAGCCTGTTAGCGCTAAACTCCACATCAGAGGGACTCTCTAAAGCTCTAGAGGAACTGGATCAGGTCTCCACCCGCACACAAGATACTGTACTGGTGTTCTACGTGAAAGCAGAGCAGGGAAACGCCCACGAAATAATAGAAAACCAGGTGAGACATCAATGAAGTGAAACAGAACCGCATGCTGCAATACTTTTGAAAGAAATGAAGTACTGATCTTTAGGTTACCTTATGTAGATCTTCGCCGTTGGTGATGTGCTTTCCCGCGCTTTCTTTCGCCTCAGGCTTCTTCCGCGTTGGCAATGGTTATGTGTTTTCCCGCGCTTTGCATCGCCTCATGTCTCGCACTCGCTGGTCGTCTGTATTGGTTTCCCATGCTTTGCGTAATCTCACGCGCTTCGCTTTTTATCGGCCCCGAGTTTCTTGCGCATATCAGCTTTCCATTTTATGAATATTTTTCCTTATTTTCCCTTTTTATTTCCTCGAGAGTGGTTCCAAAATTCTTCTTCTGAGTTGTGATTCGTCTGCAATGTCATTTCTGTTCATTTTATTATCACAGATTAACACCTGTAAGCACTCAAAAGCTTTCAGAGAGTTTTTGCTTTCCCTGGGATGGCCTGTTGATGTAGCCTCGCACCCAGGATGGTCGGGAAACATCCAAGATGCTTGGAACCGAAACAGAAATGATGACGACACTGTCACGCTGCGCCAGCGTGACAGTCCTCTCCAGTCCTCTCAAAGCGTCTCGACTCTTACAAGCAGCGAAGAACGAGACATATCTGGCAACAGTAGCGATAGATACACATCCTGTCTCGACAGTTTTGATAGCAAAGCCTCCAGTAGCGGAAAAGATTCTCCAGCGATGAATTCTACTGCTACTCGTGTGCCTCTAGAAAAGATGGCCGACGAAATATTTTATTTTGCAGACGTGAGCTGCGAGGTTGCGTTCATTGTACCTTCTTTGTTACCAAGTTATCAGCGTTTCCGCCATATGGCTTCACATGCTGAGAGTTGGGAAGATCTGGGGTATGCACCGAGAAAAAGGACTCGATCGGGCAGCACGGGGAGCCTGGAAACTATTAGCAGTGGTGGTGGCAGTCAATTCGATGTCAGAAGCAAATTTTCTCGGAAAGTGTCGGAAGGGCCTGGATACGAGGTAAATTGGCTGAAACAAATAATTTTCCTTGTTCTTTTCTCACAAACAGGTGGAGAAAGCCTCTTGATACAACCCTCGAACGTGTGATTTTGAAGGCAACATTTTTTTTCTGTCAGTGCTAAGTAAGAATGAATAACAACGTGGAGATTGAATCAGTTTAAAGAATTTGCCAAAGTGAAAAACGTGGGAGAATACGTTTAAGTTTGGCACAGATTTTGAAAAACGTTGAAAATACCTTATTAGTTTTTGCCTGGTGTAGTTAGCTTTTGTTTATACTTCTTTCTAGAACATTTCTAGGCTGTTTTGCAGACAAGACAATTTGGTATAGTAAGATCATTCCGCAAGGTTTTTTAGGCTAAAGCACTTTTCGATTGAGCAATCACGACAGCCAATCATAGGAAGCAAAACATTACCCGGGGGCCAATGAGAAATCGAAAAAAAAAAAAGTAAAAATGTCCGAAGCGCTCACAAGACGTGCTACGCTTACCGCCGGATATGAGTTTAATTTTTTGTATAGCTTTATCCACCCCTCGAGCGACCGGGACCAGATCTTGTGATGAAAAGTGGCTAAGACTTCTATTTGTGTACTGTCTCTGCTTTGCGTAGTGCCTCTGGTAACGAGTGGTTTAGGGTGCTTTTCCATGGGTGATCACCAAAGGCAAATCAAACGGTGACATGTTTGTTACTTTGTCATAATAGGTTTTGTTTTTTTTTTCGCTTTCAGTTCCAACATCGGACCATGTCAACTCTCGGGCATTCCTTGTCCTTAGACAGTCGACCGCTGTCCAGATTAAGCACCCACAATACCTCGTCGGAGACAAACGTAGTGGTGGCGTGGCTGGAGCGATTTGAGGATCATGCGCAGTTCCCCGTGGATGATCTGTTAATGGAGTTTGACATCTGTTGCAGTGATTCAACTCGAAGTTTGTTCGATAAAGAAACGGTAGTAATCTTCATTCACCATCTCAGGAGCGGTCTGTACCGCATTCATATCAGGTCCACCATCAGGTAAATAACACCTTCTTAATGCCTCAGCGAATGTCAAATTTACGAATAGGCGTGTTTCTAATCTACGAACTTTTCTTAATATCATGTTAGGTCTCCTATTGGCGGACCACTCGTAGACGGTATGGTAGTTAGCCGCCGAGTCCTGGGTACCATGGTGCGACAGACCGCTCTCAACATTCGTCGACGGCGCAGGCTGGAGATTGATACGTAAGTTGACTTTGAGATTTTTTCGTTTTGGCTTTGTTTTGTTTGTCTGTTTTTGTGTTTGTTGGTTTTGTTATTGATTCTGTTTTGTTTTGGTCTTGTAATGTTCTTCTCTGTTTTTGCTTTGTTTCTTTGTTTCTTTTTCATTTGCCGTCCTTTGTTGTGGTTTTTGTTTGTTTGTACTCTGAATTATTTTTTTGAGCGTAATACCGTTGGTGTGAAAGTAATTTTATTTTTCATTTTGCAGATATTCCCCTCCTCAGGTTTGCCGTAAACTGAAGATTCAAGACATAGTCAAGAAATTCCGTCATCAATATTCGGTTCCTGATTTTTATGTATCACTGTTTCGAAATGGAGTTAAATAGTTTTGCTCATGCTAGAGGAGATTTAAATTGTGTTCCGAAAGTCATCCGGGATTGCTTTGGTTTTACTTTACTTCGCTCTGGGATTGGTCCACTTTCTCAACCAATCATATGCAAAACTAAACAATCACGACTTGGTCGCCTGCGTTTTCCCGCGCTTTGGGCTGTTTGGTTATTTTTGTTGTTGTTTTTTTTACTTTGAATTCACATTTGGTCTAAACGTATTTGCCTTTCTTCGTTACTGCTTTGATTTAGTTTTTACGACACTCTAATCGTAAAGCGCTTTATCAGCATCCTGTGAATCAATCACAAGTCAATCCAAAGAGTTTGTCTTCTGATCTCCGAACAGTGTGTTTTTATGAGTCAGTGAAACAGAACTTTGGAGTGAGGACGAGTTATCCTTTCAGTGCACAGATACTTTGAGTTAATTGGCCAGTATTGATTCCTCGCTTCCTTCAGCTCTATAGTCTCCAATTTCAGACGACTGAAAGTACGAGATAAATATGCAAGTTGACCCCTAGTCTCAAGAATGCGGCAAAGTTTTGTTACCAACCGCTGTTCGGTCAGTGAGCCCGCGCTCGTACTAGTTTCCATGGTGCGCTTTCAAGATTTTCCCGTAAATACATTTATTTGATAGTTGAGCACGTCAAAAGACGTCAATAGCACTATCTTTGACTTGATAGCAAAAAGTGGTGTTAAAAGTACGTTATGTCGATTACAAGGCAATAAACACAGTTGTAACATTGGGTTCTATTCCTGACCTGCTATTCCTGATTTGCCCAATTAATAATTTATTTATACGAGGACTGGGACTAATCCGGAGAGGATTCAGAAACATTTAAATACGCCTGTTAGTGTGTAACGAGTGTAATTGTGTAATCAACGCGAACATTACCAGGAGAGGAGTGCACCAGAATTTTTGACTTTTTTTAATATAAAGTACTAATATTAAACTCTTCTGCTTCCTGTGTCGACACCTGGTCTTCAATTCTTCACCTTCGACTACGAGTTCAAATCAGTTCCTGATCTGACGAGGTGCTATTAAACATGCACACTTCTCATTGGCGAAGACCACTGAGTCTCAATAACTTGTTCATCCTCAATCGTTTGGCCGTCTCCCATTTATTTTTTCACCTAAGCTCGCCCCCCACCTCAGCCTTGGTTTCGTGTCTTGTAAAGCTCAACTAAAGGAATGCCCGTACTTGAATAGGCTTCGTGTTTGGAAATTTTTAAATTTTTCTTTTCCCATTTTAGTTTCCTTTCACAGATTTCTATGAACGATTCAAATTTTTTTATCGCTTGGAATTTTGCGCGGAAGATTGGCGATCGGCCGTCCAGAATTGATCCCCTCACGCGTGTCCCACGTTTGACCGCTGTGTTGCCTGGGACGGGTGTGGGACATTAGAGCAGTTCTTACATGAAGATATCGAACGCGAGCCGCCATTGCAACCGGTACTATGTAATCACCTGTGCCCGGTCACGGAAAGAATAAGACTTCATCATGTTCCAAGGAATTTTATACCACCATGTGAGAGTTTTCAAGATCAGAAACACCCCAATGACATATTCATTTGTTAATATTTTCAAATGTTATTCGTCGAGGCTCTTTTCTTCGGATGCCTTTCGGAGTACTTACCGTAGACGATTTTCAGATCAAGATTATCCGATTGACTCACGGAAAGGGTACTGGGGTTTGTTAGAAGCATATGAGTATAAGTGGAGCAAAGACCTCAACAGGCCCAGGACGGAACAGGTTTTGAGTTCCTTTCCACTCATGGAAAAGATAAAAAATGAAAGTGATATAGGTCAGGTGTTTGAACTGTATGAAGTGTTGAAAGACTCAAACTTAGCCACGGACGACGTAATGACCATTTCTTCTCAGGTCGCACTATTCTCCCGTTTTTCTCACCAACAAGTAAGGCATGGAAAAGGCAGCGAGGCCGTTGACTTAAGTCGCGTGCAGGAAGCGACAGAATCTCTCTTGAAAGCTATGAAATGGAATAGCTGTCATTTTGAATGTTCTCAACTCACCAGCGCTGTTTGGGCGATAGCGAATCATCGAGTGAAAGCTAAGTCGCGTCATGAACACTTAGAGGTGACTTTTGCACTGCTCCATTTTGATAAAGAAATCAGAAGCCGTGATCTCAGCGAGTTCACTAACGGGGACATAGCTGTGATCTTTCTGGCATACGGCAAAGCTTATGTCCGAGCGTTTTCGATGTTTAAGGTGCTTAGAAATGAAATTATGGCCCGGGATTTGGCAGATTTCACCGTGGAAGATATCAGCAAAATTCTTTGGTCCTATGCGCAGATGAAGCAGACAAGTGCTTCACTGTTTGCCGCTATAAAGAAGGAATTACTGAGTCGTGATTTATCACATTTCTCTGAGAAGGTCATAGTGTCAGTCCTTTGGTCATTTGCCATGGCCAAAGGGAACACTAAGGATTTATTCAGAAGTTTAAAACGTGAAATTTTGAAGCGTGGTCTCTTGCGTTTTTCAGAGAGGCAGCTAGCTCAGATTGTTTCTTCTTATGCTGAGAAAAACAGGCATGCCCCTGATCTCTTTGAAGGAGTTGCTTCTAACCTTCTTTCAAGAGGTGAACTCAACTTTGATTCAAGAGGCCTTAGAATGATTGCAAAGAGCTTTGCAAAGACCAAGAATTTCATACCAGATCTTTTTAGTTTCATAGGAGACCATGTAATGGATAGTGATATTTCTGTATATCATCCCTTGGAAGCTGTTGACCTTTTGTGGGCCCTTACTGAAGCAGGTTTCCTTCAGGAAATACTCCACCACAAGCTTGTAGATCACATTCTTCGTTGTGATTTTCCAGAATTGCCAGATTCAGCTCTTCAACTGCTTGTGGCAGTGTTAGAGAACAGTAACTTTAAAGCACCTGACCTTGCAGCAGCAACAGAAGCTGAGCTTGTCAGGAGATCAGAAGCAAAGTCTTGACTCTGTGAACGTTTTGAAATTCTTACCCATGTGCATTTGTTTATTGTTAGTGCATATTTGGGCTTCGATCGTGATCCAAGAGAGAGCAAGAAATTGAATCAGTTGGATTTTCTTCCCTAATGTGCTCCACAAGATTGACTGATTGTGATTTTGTTGGTTTTGGTCTTACGACAATCAATATAAAATGATCTAGTCTCTCGTTAAAAGTTTCTTCCAATCTTACAAGGTTCAAGTAACACCATTGGATAAGTTACCACCCTGTAACATGCTGTTATACATATTTCCATACAGATGCAAGTCCTTGCTATCCATGAACTACTGAAAAACTTCTAGTGTTCAGTTTCCTTTACTCCAGGAGTGTCCAAACTTATGACCCCCTAATAGTTACTAACATTTCTCCATACAGTCTTATCTCTGACTCAAACATTAACCCTCTAACTCCCATGAGTGATCAAGACAGAATTTCTCCTTTTAATATCAACACAGAATCAAGCCGACTAGTGAGGAGAATAAAGATGAAAACTCAATAAGGAGACTACAAGTGTATCCAATACCAAATTCTCCAAATTGAAACCATAAGTATTTTAAGGCAGACAGTAGGGAGAATTGCTAATCAGATCTTGGGAGTTAAAGGGTTAAGGTTATAAGAAAAAAGGAAATGATCACCAACTAGAGACTAAAGAAGCTCTTGATTGTTAATTAAATTCTTCATGTCAGCCCCTAAGAAAATGTATGGAGAACAATATTGAAAATATGCATATTGATGTTTTAACCCTTTCACTCCCAAGATCTAATTAGTAATTCTCCTTACTATCTGCCATACAATTCTTCTGATGTAAGTTCAGAGAATTTGGTATTGGATCAACTATTAATCCCATGATTGATATTCTTCTCTATTCTCATCACCTGCCTGCTTGATATTGTATTGATATTGTAAGGAGAAATTCTGTCTTGGTCACTTGTGGGAGTGAAAGGGTTAAAGGGTTAACATAGTACATAAAATTATCTTAAGATGGTTCTGTGTTTAAAAAGTTTGACTCTTTATGATTTAAAATACCGTCAGCTTCCTAAAATGTAATATTTTCCAGTCTTTATTTAGTTTGAATTATAATATCAATGTTCCAAGAGGATGTGAAATATTTTGCCAAAAAATTCATAATTTATGAAAACAAATGAGCCCCTATTTTACTGCAGCTGTTACAACATTGCCTCCATTTAATAAGTACTAGTTACCTTTTAACTTGGAATATTTGAAAAGTTGAATGAGAATATTAAATGGAGAAGATCAGCAAAAATAATATTGTAAGAATTTTATGTTTAGAGGGTAAGGTGTAGGTAGAGTCACCTCTTGACCCCAGAGACAAACAGCTGTTTGTGGAAAGGTTATGGCAAAAAAGGACAAAGAGCATGCAACATTCCCTAAAGGCAATCTGGGTATCCAGTGTCAATGAAATTTTAATTGTGAAACAAATAAATATGGAAGAAGGACTTTTAAACAGGGGATAAATGTTGATATGCATGTGAAATAGAGAGGAACGAAATAAAAGAACATTACAAGCCCCCCCCTCTCCCCCTCCCTCCAGCAGGCTTTCATCAGTTTTCCCTGACAGTTTACCAGTACTTATAGGGGTGGGAAGGGGAACAGAGGGGACACTGTGTGATAAAGTGATTGGCCAAAGAACACAAGACAATGACTTAGCCGAGGCTTTGAATCAGACCTCTTAATTCAAATCCCAATATACCAAATGTGAGGTGACGGCCTCTATGTGATAAATAGAATGACTGCTCTCTTCACCACACCTATCACAACTGTAATTTTCACATGTCCTGAAAAAAATACTGAAAAATTAAAGGTTTGGGTCAAGTTGTGCAGTTTTGAGGGAAAAATGTGCTTGAGGATAATTAGGTTTGTGGGCATTAACTGAGTGACTGCCAGTTCCACTATTTCAGTGTGTTTTCAAGAGTCTGAATTGTGAAAATTTCTGTGAATCTATTTTGGCAATTCTTTGTTGTATTTTACAATTCTCTGTTGAATAAGGTTGTTTCATCAAAATAGCTGGATTTAAGCCCCTTTGGCTCACTAATCCATGAAGTAAATTGCCTTTAGAGCTTCTCTTTCTTTGAGTGTCCCTAAACCCAGACTAATATGGTAATTATGGGTTGTAGTGCACAAATAACAAAAGTATATCATTGAAATGAAAACCCAGCAGATTCAACAAGTGAGAAAAAAATTAAAAAAAAGGAAAAATTTAATAGCATGTCAAATGTGCATGGCGGATGTGAGAAAATCGGTGTTGTCCTATGTTGCTCGTTTGGAACGTTTAGATTTAGGTTTCAGGTGTTTCTTTATGACTTTATGAATATATTCCGTAGTCCTCTTTTCCTCTGGTCCATTCCGATCTTGAAGTTCAAAATGTTTACCAGTGAAACGAGTAGTTGTAAATAGGACCTGAAAATAATTCAGGCCCGTACGGGATTTGAACCCATGACCTCTGCGATACCGGTGCAGCACTCTACCAATTGAGCTAACAAGCCAACTGGGAGCTGGTCAATGAATTGGGTCCAAATAAACATCCAAGTGAATGAAGATTTTAGACATATGAAAATTCATATATTTGCACTGCGGCGGAGAGATGAAATTATGAGATCCTCGCAGCTAAGAACACTACTGAAACGAGTAGTTGTAAATAGGACCTGAAAATAATTCAGGCCCGTACGGGATTTGAACCCATGACCTCTGCGATACCGGTGCAGCACTCTACCAATTGAGCTAACAAGCCAACTGGGAGCTGGTCAATGAATTGGGTCCAAATAAACATCCAAGTGAATGAAGATTTTAGACATATGAAAATTCATATATTTGCACTGCGGCGGAGAGATGAAATTATGAGATCCTCGCAGCTAAGAACACTACTGAAACGAGTAGTTGTAAATAGGACCTGAAAATAATTCAGGCCCGTACGGGATTTGAACCCATGACCTCTGCGATACCGGTGCAGCACTCTACCAATTGAGCTAACAAGCCAACTGGGAGCTGGTCAATGAATTGGGTCCAAATAAACATCCAAGTGAATGAAGATTTTAGACATATGAAAATTCATATATTTGCACTGCGGCGGAGAGATGAAATTATAATTTCATCTCTCCGCCGCAGTGCAAATATATGAATTTTCATATGTCTAAAATCTTCATGTTTACCAGTGTTTCCCAAGGGACCATTAAAGAGCGACGGCATACTGAACGCATTTGATTGATCAAATGGAACGATACATTGCCTCATTTTGACGTCATCTGTAATCAAATCTGAGAAGGTATCTATTTGTAGATATACACAGTATTCTGTACGCATTTGTAAGATCAGCACAAACAGTTTCCAATCAGTCGAATCAGGTGTTAAAGTAGTCTTAACACGCCGTCAAAATGACCCGTGTTCTTGTCACTGGGGCCTCTGGTTTCCTCGCATTGCATGTTGTTAAGCAGCTGTTGGAGTCTGGTCAACAATACATCGTTCGAGGAACAGTCAGAAGTTTAGCGAACGAACAGAAGCTCAAACCATTGAGGGCACTGTGCCCAGAAAATTCGAAACAACAGCTGGAATTGGTGGAAGCAGATCTTAGTCAAAGAGAATCTTGGATTGAGTAAGTATTAGCGAATTTCTTTCTTCATGATCCAGCGATTTACTTGACCGAATGGAAGTCGACCAAACGGAAGTCGGTGTTCCAAATCACAAAATAAGGCATCACTGCAGCTGGCAAGTAAAAATTAGGGATGGCAGCCTGCTTTAGATTTTAATCATCTGTGTTAATACTTGAAAAAGAAAGTTAATCATTCTCACCCCGCTATTAGGAAACGCTGAACTCATTTCAGTTGTCGGCGGGCGTGACCACCATCGATAAAACGTTCCCCTTTGAAGCCAATATAAATAGAGCAGGAACGCAAAACTCACTGGTATGTGCTTTTGGAGTGTCGAGAATTAACTTGTGCTTACTGTGAGGGTTACGAATAAGGGAAAATTTTTGCGGACCGTGTTTGAATAAGAAATTTACCCACACAAAGAGTTGCAGTAAAATATTGCAGAAACCATTAATTGAATTCAGATTTAATCGATTTCACCCAAAGTGCAGTCACGCAAGCCAGTTTTAGAATATTCCAAGGTCGCGGGGGGAGGTTTACTTCAGCTTTTTTTTCCTTTTAAGACGCAATCACTGGAAACCATTTAGCTGTGGGTTGATAATTTACTTCCATTTCATCAGTATTCCGATTTGTATAGCGGTATCTAATCAGAAATATGCATATGGAAGAAATTTTTTTCTGTCTTCTGTGCCCTCCCCCTCCCGTCCAACGGGATTATTGCATTGCATCACCAGCCAATGGAGGTTGGTTTGGGAAAGGGTAAAAACTGTAGCAAGTGAGTTGTAAAGATTTGTGAAAGTCCAGCTCTTTTAGGGAAGGTACGTTTTTTCTTGGGGGGGGGGGGGGGGGGCTGGGGCCTCAGAGGGGAGGGTCATCAGTGAAAGTGAGCACCAAAGGGGGAGGGCCATACCTTCTTTTTCAGCTATTCAAGGGGAAGGTCACACCTTTTCCAGAATTTTTAATGAGGATTTTTGTGATGTTATTTTCCATTTTTCTTTAACAGACTAAGTTTTTTCTTTTCAACTTGTTTCTTTTAATTCGGTGCAGGTACTAGTTTTACAAGGTTACTGGGTGTCTACATGTATATTATTCCATGGCACATAATTTTCTCGGAGTACTCGTGTCCTTTTCCGTCCGTATCGTGACGTACTTGACTCGGGTATGGTTTCTTGTTCCAGCTGTTGTCTATCCGCTGCCTGATCTCCTGAGTCATTAAGCTGCACATATTCAATATCGAGATTTATTCATATTCAAACATTTTGCGTTTACAAGCAAAATGTCGAAAAATGTTCTGAGGTTTCTATGGCATGGAGCATACCATGTGGTAGTGAGGGGAGGGTCACACTTTTGTCAGTCACCTCAAAGTGGGGGGGTCAGGAGTTTTTTAATCAAAACATGAGGGAGGGCTAACACTTTCTTTTGGAAAAAATACCAAAATTCCTCAGCCCTCCCCCCCCAAGAAGAAACGTACCTTCCCTTATAGTGTATAGCCTAGAACGAAAAGGAGCCACCCGAACTTTTGCTGAAAGAAATACTGCTTACCCCAGAGACAAGCGAAGTGGTATTGCATGTCGTGTAATATATTGCACAGTGTTTTCTTTAAGTGGCCGAAATCTTATTTCTGTTAGAAATAAATTGCCTTTACTTTCAGTGCTGTCAAAGACTGTACCTATGTGATTCATGTTGCGTCACCGCTCCCTCTCAAGATGCCAAGAGATGAGATGGAGGTTATTGGACCCGCCGTGGAAGGAACCAAAAGCGTCCTTGAAGCGTGCGCCAAGACCAAGGGCGGGGTAAAAAGAGTTGTGTTGACGAGTTCCAGTGCTGCAATTCATAGTAAGAGATTTAACTCTTCAACCCTTAACATTAGTATGCATATTCTTCATACTGTTCTCTATACATTTCCTTAGGTGCTGACAAGGAGATTTTGTTTACCGATCAAAGCTTTTTTCGTTGGTGATAATTTCTTTTATTCTCATAACCTTAATGGTTGATTTAGGGGTGATATTGTAAGGAGAAATTGGATCTCGTAACTCTTAGAGTTCATAGGATTAAGACGGCTCTAAGCGAGAAGTGCGTTTTCCAATCGAAGATGCTTAAACCAGACTCATTCTTAGGCCTTTCACGGTCAAGCCGTTTTCAGTTACAGTTACACGGTAGGATCTGCAGGTTACTAGATTATGCTTTAATCTCAGTTTTACAACATATTGAGATCATGAAAAATTTCAGATCATGAAAAATTTCAGACTCTTTCCTCTTCGATAATATGCTTTCAATTGACGTGAAATTTTTAAGAGCGCGCTATTTTCTCAATTTAATTTTTTGCTGTGAGTTAGATATGACAAAATTTGTCATTTCAGCCGCCATTCCTTGATGGAAGCGCCGGGAAAGCTCGGCTTTCATTCATTAATTTTTTTAGCCACTATTCTTTTACCTGTGCAAAGGTGGTCGACAAGGCGTTGAAGATAAAGTCTTCACCGAGGAGGACTGGGCAGCAGACGAGGGGGTCAGCCCGTATGAGAAGAGCAAGAAGCGTGCGGAAAAGGCCGCCTGGGAACTAGTGGAGAAGTTGGCAGGTTACAACTTATTGACTTTTTTAAAAAAAGCTTTCATTATTTCAACGAAACTAAGTCATGCAATTTCAGGAGAATCAGGACCAAGCTATCACGGGTTGAGTCTCATAGACTTAAAGTGTATATGACACACATTTTTTTTTTTAAACCCGGTGTTTGATTCTTTGAAACATGAACTAAGCGAAAACTGGTTTTGCAGGTTATTCTGGTCCCATTGCATGAAGCGACTGATAGTGTTGCTTTTCCCCCGCATGGGATGTAAGTCTGTCACGACTACCCTTAAGGAATTCCGTGGTGGTTTGCTGGTACACTTTGAAATTGTTCTTGCTAGAGTTTAGCAGCGAGTATTTGTATCTTGCCTAATGAGAATAGAAATTAAACTCCTCCCCTGATGGCAATTTCATTACCAGCTCTAACAAAACTGTCGAAGAACTACATAATTTTTTTAAAATGAAATGATGTAATTCTCAGATGTAAGCTATCAGACTATATGTCTAGCCCAAACGTACCCAAACGTATCCGCCTTCCAAGCTTTGCGGGACTTAAACGCGTCGTGTTTTCTCGTTCTTACCGACAGATGATGAGAAGTTTGAGCTTTGTACCATCAATCCTGGGTTTATTGTTGGCCCTGTGTTGGGCTCTTACTGCACAAGCACCGAGGTAAATGTATATTTCAGTATAAATCTACTAGCGTCCAATGAGAAAGGCTGTAATCTGATTGGCTACGCTACTCGTTGTCTATTCCGTGATAGACAATGAGTGGCAAAATTGTGTTTGTTAAAACATAATTAATGGCTCGGACATAATTTATCCCCCGGGGGTGGGGGGGGGGGGAAATCTAAATAATTACCAGCTATTACAGCCTGTAATCACGACTGAAGTAACCAATAATGTTTTTTTAGCTTCACAGGCGTTTTCTTCAGCGAGAAATGCCAATGGTTCCTAAAATGATGTTTGGAGTGATTGATGTCAGAGATTGTGCTAGAGCTCATATAATTGCTATGACGTCACCTAAAGCACCTGGTAATATGTCCTTTAGCATAGAAACAAATTAAAAATTATTGCAAAGGCTTCTTAGCTCTGTTTTCATCTCAATAAGGGTAGAATGCGGAGAGAACACAAGGAGACAACCTAGCAAACCTTTTCGGTTTTCGTATAGAGCAACCACGTATTTCGATTGAGACTTTTTCCCCTTTAGTATGGCCAAAGGTCTGGAACCGAGTGTTTCCCAAAGTCGCATCTCAATGAGCTCGACCAACTTTAGACCCTTCACTTTGTAATCCAGTCAGTTATGACTGATTAAGTAAAAACAATTTGTACTCCTTTTTTTGTCTTAACAGGTAACAGATACCTCGCCATCACGGACTGTTACTGGATGGATGATATGGCACGGCTGCTTCATGAAGAATTCAGACCTCTCGGTAAGGTTCTTGTACACTTAAATTCCTTGACCCCCTAGAGTGACCAGCGTCTGATTTCTCCTTACAATATCACTCATGAATCACACATAAAGGTTACGAGAGTACTGGAGATGATCACCAATTAATGGAACTCTTGACTGTTAAACAAGTCATCTCTCTGAGAACCTTGGGAAATGCACAGAGAACAGTATGGAAAATATACATAGAGATAGAGAAATATGTTTTTTTCGTCTTGTCACGAGTGTGGGACAAAGAAAAAATTTTGAGTATCCATGAGGAACCGCGCCTCAGACTTTCGGATTCCGCGCTCCGATGCTCTACCACTGAGCCACAGAGACTCCACGGTGGGCGAGGTCTTTTACGAAGTTCATATGACACGCGTCTTGCATACTGCTAGGATCAGCAATGTCGATAGCGTAATGTTTGTAGATAGAAATGAGAGATGAATAGAGATGTTAGAGTATAAAGGGTTAAAATGTGGTTGAAATCGTTTTTACCTTGAGTTCTCATTGGCTCTCTATGACATTTTCCCTAAAGTTCGGATTTGGTGCCGAGATTACTCAGCTTAGGCTTTGCGACACTTAATCGAAATGCCCCTATTTATGTAACGTGAGATGTTTATAAGATAAGTCAATCTCAAGAAGAAAAGTTTCTTCCATTCTTGTAGGTTATAAAGTTCCTACCACAGTGGCTCCAAAGGTCATGATAAAAATCGCCTCGTGGTTTGATGGCACGTTGAAGTTTATTTTACCTTTTCTTAACAAAGACATCAAGTTAGATAATTCGAAGGTAACTCATAATTAATAAATAATTGATTAATAATTAAAAAGGAAATCACAATCTTGGGATCTTTGTTCCGTGGTATAGAACAATTTTTATTGGAGTGTCAAAACTAAACTGAGATTGCATAGGTTTTCCTGTACTACGCTCTGTGATTGGTCAAGAAACCCCGCACCAACCTCTCAACACGACTTGATCGCCCGCGTTTTTTTCCCGCCCTCGAAGCAGTTTGATTGTTTTACTTTAAGTCCATATCGGCTCTTAAAACTATTTTCCCATTTCTTTTTGATTATCTGTTATAATTCCTTTGGTTTTGCTCTCATGACACTTAATCAAAAAGAGCTCTAATCTCAACGGGTGTTGTAGGGATGGTTGAGATAACGTAGAATTTAAGCCTGGTCCAAGTAATTTTTAAAAGCGCTAATCTCTTGCTTTTTTCTTTTGTTTGTTCAGATAAAAGACCATTTCGGTATGCAGTTTGAGGATTTCAAGAAAAGCGTAATAGACATGGCCTACAGTTTGATCGAAAGAGGTTTTGTCAAGAAGACACCGCAATACGAGGAAGCGAAAAAACAACAAGCCGCTAATGGATCTGGGTAGTTAAACTTGAGGAGACGTCACGCTCGAAGTTAGCTACAATCCTCGTGAAGTTTTGTTGAAACAACCCACTCCTTATTAAATGTTGAGTTTAGTTCAGTCTGCAACACAGCGGTCAAACGCGTTGGTATTTGGTCGTTATTTTTTACTGGGAATAGGAATGTTTCCTAAGTTTACTTCTGAAATTTTGCGCAGGAATTGGGCGCGCGCACGCGACTGGCCAAAATTGATCCCCTTGCGCATGCTCGACGTTTGTCCGCTGATTTGAGGAAAACGAACCAAACTAGACAATTTTCTAGAAAGGGAAAATCGTGAATTGACCAACCTAGGCTCTTATGGAGCGATGAAACAATAGATAAGCCAGAACAAATAAATAAAATAGCACCCCAAATATTCGTATATTATGTTCGACTCCAAAAGAAAATATAATAATGAAGGAAAACATTTGCTTTGTTCATCCATTGCGGAACAATCCCAAATTACTAGCCAGCACAGAAGGTACCAGGGTAAAATGACAGTGACACACCCACAGGATGCGATTCCAGTTGGAGATGGAGAGGAGTCCCTCTCCATTGGAAGGCTGGCGTTACACTTACGACTCCGTAAACACGCGATATACACAATTAAAAACTGCACATCCCTGAGATGACTGTAGCTGAAAGTTACTGTGAAATTTCTTCTCGTTGGTGAATCAGTTGTCCTTGGTTCTAGTGCTGTGAACAAGACCATAAAAGAAGGAATGCTTGTTTTCAAGAAGCGCCCCTGGGGTGTCGCATTCGACCACAGTCCCCCGATCCATCACTAAAACACGGTCACTGTCCATAATAGTGTCTAGCCTGCAAGATAGAAAGAGACATCAGATCACTGCCTTTCGGTGGACTCCCCTTTAAAAGGAGCCTTCAGGGCGAGGGATTTCATCATAACTTCTCCTATTTCCAGACGTGAGGATTATTTTGAGCGCTTTGAGTCAAAGTACGAGTTGTGATTTTCAACTCGTTCCTAGGTTCTCGCTCTCCTTTCTTCCCTCCGAGAGCTTACGAACGAAGTTGCCATTACTTTTCTTCTAAATTGCCATAAAGTTTTTTTATTTAAAAAAACGATTAAAGTTAAAGAGATTCAAACCTCCAAGTGCAGTTAATATTATGCCGTGGCCGATAAAAATGACATTTCTAACCTGTGCGCAATTGTTAAGACAGTGCTTTCTTTAAATTCACTTCTAATCGTCCTCTGGATTAGCTTGTCTGTTTCAAGGTCCACGCTCGCCGTCGCTTCATCGATGCACAATACCTGGCACACGTAAACAAGAAAAGCAAAGTCAGGCCGTTTGCAGGGATATGTTGATTCCCGTGAAGTTATTCTCGATCTTAACGGAAAAGGAAGTCTGTTTTCCTTTCTTAAAATCATTTCATTCATTTTCATGCCCTTTACATTAAAATCGCAGAAGATAATGTAAGGAGAAATTAGAAGCCAGTCACTCTTACAAATTAAAGGAATGTGTGCATCCCAAGGTAGGGATGCACCACATGTAGGGGTGGGGGGGGGGTTATTTTTACTACCAGCAGGATTTTGAAGACATATTCATTTCAGCCTTCCTCTCTTAACAGAAAGTTCCGTGACAATGGAGTTATAAAGCTTAAGTTGATATAAACCCTTCTATTCAAAAGAAACATTTTCATCCTGTTCAATGCGTTTGCAACGCCTTCCTAACCTCTTTTCTTTCTTGGAGCTATAGTGGCAATGCTTTCCACTAACTACGTGCCTGGAACACGTAAAGCTAAGTCTGTACATAAGCCTATTGGCCCATTCAGCCGGAGCTTATCCCAGTTTCCCAGTTTCCATGTAGCATGAGGCGACCAGGAGTATCACTACTCCCCCCTGGATGGGACACTAGTATATCGCAAGGTTACCCCCAGCGCACCATCAAGCTTCCCTGACAATTTGCCAGCACCCATTTGTACTCCTGGGTGAACGGAGGCAGCGTAAAAGTAGTGATCTGCCAAAGAACCGGCCAGGTTTTAAACCCTGACCTCTCCTCCCGGAGTCCAACGCACTTACCATAACACCACCACGTCTCCCTGGAACAGGTACGTTTAATATGTTTGAAAGACTGAATATTTGATAGCAATAGCCCGTAATTAGCAAACTGTCAATAATCACCTTGACTCTCGTCAAAAGGGCTCTTGCTAGACACACCAGCTGCCGCTGACCAACTGAAAAATGTCGCCCACGTTCACCAACGTCAGCATCCAAACCACCTGCGAATGATAATACTTTAAATTAATCACATGAAAAATGCTGGTGTTGATAACTGTACTCTATTGGGAGCTTAACAATTAAGCTTACCGAGTTCTCGTACGGCTTGAAGCAGGTGACAACGTTCTAAAATCGTCCACAGTTCAGCCTCGGAACACTAAAAGAAAAGCAAGTAATACTAAGAAACTTCTATCGGCTAGTAATAATTATGGATTTGACAAGTGTGTTTGATCTAGCTTAAGAATGTATATTTTTGTCTCGGCTAGAAAACTCCAGTGTATGATAAAACCTTCGAAAAGTTCTGATTTGTAGTAACTTATTTTGTTCGATCGAATGGTTGCAGTTCGCAACCATATCTTCCCATGTCATCCAGGACCGAAGCGAGTCAATCTTCGAGACCATACTTGGACAGTGGGATTAAAGCTTCGCATGAAATCGAAGCGAGTAGCCAGCCAGTCCAAGATGGCGCCTACATCGCACAGCAGCCAGAAAGAAGCGATGCAAATGGTATGCAGTTTCCTAACGTTGAACGCAAACATAAACTTGTCTCCCTTGAGTAACAATAATAGTGTATACAAACACCACTTACTCTTTTCCACGGGTCAAGATTGTCCCGCACTGCTCCACTAAAAAGGAAAGCATCCTGAGGAATGATGGCCAGTCGAGATCTAAAACAAAAACAAGAGACTTCAGACGTCTCGTACCACTATTGCAAACGTGGACAAAAAATGGCAAAGCCCGCTTTGAAGCCCAAGGACTCTAGGTCTCTCCCAGGGGTTCTGGGCCTCACCCAGGGGCTCCTTTCCCAGATTCCGTAGCATAAAGCGACTGTGACAATTGTGAGTATATTCATATACCCATCCTATTCTAAAGGGGATGCTAGTCCAGCGCAGGCCAATGCAGGTAACGTTAATTTAGGCCTTACGCACTGCTGCTAGCCTGAATAAATAGCTTAGGGAGGAGAGGGATTGAAAGCTATTTTTTTCTCCTCCTCACACCAGTTTACCCGCGTTACACACTAAAAATTCTTTAGATAAATTATTTAATGTATGATACCCTCACGTGGACACGACCTATTCCTCACCGAGCTGGTCACACAGTAAAACCAACCTGAGAATATCCAGCGGTACAGAGGCTATATTGATGCCATCAATTAACACAGCCCCCTGGTAGCTGTTAATCATTCGAAACAGAACTTGAAAGAGGCTTGATTTACCAGAGCCTGTTCGACCAACAATGCCAAGCTGCACAATCAAACAAACAAAACAATAGGCGAAAACTGGAAGTTATGGGAATCTTTTCATACTAAATAGTTTTATGAGAGTTGAAAAAAGTTTTTCTGTTGGGGCGAAATATTTGCGCACACAGAGCAGAATCATTTCACTCACATCAGTAATGCAACAAAGCCAGACAAAAAATTTTTGATAGCATACCATCCACTTTTATGTTATAACAGGAACACATTTCAACAAAGTGACAGACATTAGGTCTTTTTTTTTATAGGAAGACGTGACAAGCAAACTTCTTTCACAAGCGTACCCTCTGAAAAGGTTCCGGTGAGAAGGCCGAGCAAAGATAGGTGCCGGTAAAGCGGCCAGCGGGGAGGGGGGGAAGGGTGAGAGGAGAGGTGAGCGACGAAGTTCTCACCACGTTCCTTTGCTCCCCCACTTTCCCCGTAGCCCCATCCTCGACTAAAGGGCCTGTTCCTAAGCTGACATAAACACCTAAGTGCCAAGAGATCGATTCCGCTGGTCACATTTAATTTCTTTTTAAAGGCAGTTTCATTAACATTCTCAAGTAGAACATGACTTAAAGCACCTTTCCCGCAATGGTCGTTAATCCTTAAACCCCTGTTACTTGTCTCCTCTACCTGCTAAACATTTCCTTTTAAATTAGTTACGAGAATTTGTTAGTTCCAGGAAACAACTTCTACCTGATAAGTTTGAGTAATCTCGTTTCCTGTTTGCGGGATAACGTAAGGATATTATGGGGTTAATGTTACCTTTTCCCCGGCAGTTGTTGAGAATGATACCCCGCGAAGTGCTTGAGGCAAACCTGGTCTATAAAGAAAAAACTTGGCATTAAACAAATGAGTGGTATTCTGCCATAACAGGTAGTTTTGATCCTTAGGTCAGTTAGGATGGTATTCGAACTGATGTATACGATAAATTCGCAGTTTTTCTTAATCCGACATATTGTTCCAACGATTTTTGCGGCCGTGCTGATCCATATTTCAAGGCAAATTTAGCGCAATTGCATCCGCGCAAGATTTAAAAAAATTGAAAAAAAACAAATTGCTCTCCTGCACCTTTCCCTCTCTTGTCATCACTGACACGTTTTCCCATGCGTCATACGGGTTACATACTTTCCCGCAATTACTGTATTGCTCTTCACTTGCAGCAGACACAGCGGTAAAATGAGTGCGCATGCTCGGCGGATTTAGCGCTTTGGAGGAGCGTTTAGTAATTCCAGCAAGATGTGTGAAATGTGTGTCAAAGGAGGTTCGATAGACACTTTCCTGAAACGGCAACATTATCTGTTTCAGTTTGAGCTTATCCCCGCAAAATGAAAACGAGCGATGGGAATTTTAAAAATGCCGCCATAGTTTTACAAAAGAAATAGTCGTTCCCATTCCTTTGCGCGCGTAAAATTTTTCGAGTGTTACAAGCATACGCACTCATTTTGCCGCTGTGTCCTTGCAGCATTGTTCCCCTGAGCGCAAGCACTGTAAAACACCAAGCATTTCGCGCAAGACGGATGAGTTCCCCAGTCACCACGTGACTCCAAACAACCTAACTTACCGATAAACTAAGCTGACATTCCGGAAAGTGAGCTGGCCGCGAGAAGGCCACGAGTTGGGGACCTGCAAAAACCGAGAAGAGTTAAAACTAACTTAACGAAAGGCCAACTTCTCTTTTATGTGTCCCCTCAGTGTCAAGAACCGAAAAAAAAAAATGGTAACAAGCGAGATAATAAAGGCGGGAAGATATCTTTCTAACCAATGAGTCTGTAGACATACACCTTTCCCTCTCTCTCAGATAAAGCTGTTGAACAAGCAAAAGATAAACAATACTGCGCAGATTGCGCAGTTGCAAAGTTTTCCCTTACTAATTTCCTTTTTTCGTTGGAATCCAAGAGTCTAAGGTTCGATTCCTCAAGGGGACTCAGAATTTTTCTTAAACC